GCGAGCTATCTACTCCAATGCTGAAGTCATTCTCATGGATGATCCTCTGTCCGCGGTCGATGCACATGTTGGTCGGCATATTATGGACAAGGCTATCTGTGGACTGCTTGCTCACAAATGCCGCGTGCTTGCAACCCACCAGCTCCATGTTCTCCATCGCTGTGATAGAATCATATGGCTGGATGGCGGTCAAATCAGGGCTACAGGCACTTTTGATCATCTGATGGCGGAAGTAGCGGACTTTGCGCAATTGATGGCCTTGACATCAGTTGACAAGAATGACGGAAAAGATTCGCAAGAAGGCGATGACGAGGCAGTTGATGAGAAAGAAGAGCTTGCGAAAGCATCAACTGCCAAAGATGCTTCAGCTCTTATGCAAGCTGAGGAGCGCGCTGTAAAAGCCGTCTCCTGGGACGTTTATGGTGCTTACCTCCGAGCTTCTGGTACCATTCTTAACGCGCCTCTAGTGATCGTCCTTCTCATAGGGGCTCAAGGAGGAAATGCATTGAGTGGCCTCTGGCTGTCTTGGTGGACTGCGGAACACTTCTCTCTAAAAATGAAAACCTGGGTGAGTAGATTGTTTATCTCAGATGTGATGTTCAAATTTCAGGACTGATTAATATAGATCGGTATTTACGCTGGACTCGGTGGAGTACAAGCCGTATTCATGTTCTTTTTTGCCGTATCCCTCACTATCTTTGGTACTCGAGCAAGTAAAGTCATGTTCAAGCGCGCAATGACCCGGGTTTTACGCGCACCCATGTCGTTTTTCGATACGACGCCCCTAGGCCGTATTACTAACCGATTCTCAAAAGATATCGATGTCATGGACAACAATCTTACTGAATCATTTAGGATGTATCTCATAACCCTTGGGATGATCGTATCTACCATGATTCTGATTCTTACGTACTACTATTATTTCGTCGCAGCGCTGGTACCTCTCATTATTATATTCCTATTTTCTGCAGATTATTACCGAAGCTCCGCCAGGGAGATCAAACGACATGAGGCAATTCTACGGTCTCATGTCTTCGCCAAGTTTAGTGAAGCAGTGTATGGGACTTCGACGATCCGCGCGTATGGGCTAGGCGACACTTTTGTGCGGAGGATACGGCATTCCATTGACAACTTCGACGGCGCTTATTTTCTTACCTTTGCGAACCAAAGATGGCTTAGTCTCCGGCTCGATGCCATTGCTATCGTTCTCATTTTCATCCTCGGCATGCTCGTTGTAACTTCTCGGTTCACTGTCAACCCGAGTACAGGCGGCCTTGTTCTTTCCTATATGCTCAGCATCATGGGTTCCTTTCAAATGGCAGTTCGGCAGATGGCAGAGGTCGAAAATGACATGAACAACACTGAGAGAATTCACTACTATGGTACTCAACTCGAGGAAGAAGCACCTCTACACATCGGAGACGTGCCACACGAATGGCCACAAAGTGGAGAAATAATTTTCGACCGAGTACAGATGCGCTATCGGACAGGATTGCCACTTGTCCTTCAAGATATTAGCATTCATGTGAAAGGAGGGGAGAGATTGGGTATTGTCGGTCGGACAGGGGCAGGCAAATCCAGTATTATAAGCACTTTGTTCCGGATGGTGGAAATTTCAAGCGGGTCCATTACTATCGATGGAATTAACATTAGCAAGATAGGTCTTCACGAAGTTCGATCTCGTTTAGCTATTATTCCGCAGGACCCGACGTTATTCAAAGGGACGATCCGGTCTAATCTCGACCCTTTCAACGAGCATACAGATCTCCAACTATGGTCAGCACTTCGGCAGGCGTATCTTATTGATGACGAGAAAGGTGACATAGGACTTGATAGTGTCGTTGAAGAAGAAGGATTGAACTTCTCCTTCGGGCAGAGGCAGTTGATGGCGTTAGCCCGGGCGCTAGTTCGCGACTCAAAAATCATTGTCTGTGACGAAGCAACGAGTTCTGTCGACTTTGCAACGGACCAGAAAGTCCAGCGCACAATGGAGGCATTCCGAGGTAAAACTCTACTCTGTATTGCGCATCGTCTAAGGACTATCATTGGCTACGACCGCATTTGCGTTATGGAGCGAGGAAGTGTCGCCGAATTGGGCCCACCACTTGAACTATTTGATCAAGATGGTATTTTTAAAAGTATGTGCCAGAAGAGCGGGATCACAAGGGAAGATATTCTGGAGAAAAAAGTTAGGCGGTCAATTAGTTGATAGATTTTTTTTTCTCAGAAACCATAGACACATAAGGCATAACGCTATATGCGCGCAGACCGGGCTCAGAAAACGTCGGAAATTATGTCCTGCATACAGGTGCACTGCAAGCGGTGGTAATACTAACATGAAGCTTCGGCAAGTTTATCCTCAATCTTCTGCCAATTCCCTTTATTCAAATAGCCCGATATCCAATAGTTTCCCTCTGCATCTTTGCCAATGATAGGGAACGCGTTAGGAAGAGTTAGGCCATATTGGCAATTTTGTATATAGGAAGGCCTCCCTGGCCTGCGCGAAGGATTCGGTGGTGAAGCACTTCCTTTGATAATCGCTCCTGAGAAATTGGTCTCAAAGAGCTTCGCCTTACCCCAGTTAGAGTAAGTGACCATATGCATTGAACGATCGCCGAAGAAAGGAGGTAATTTGAATCGCGATGCTCTTATCATAGCCGCAAATGACTCAACTTGCTCCCGAGTTCCCAGTTCTTGTATGGCGTGACGAAATCGAGACGCGATATACCCGGTTGTCTTGCCGACAACATCTTCGGTCGACATAACAACATTAATAAATCCTGTGGCATTGAAAACATGCGCATAGCCTCGGGGCAGGAGATCCCTTTCCAAGACGTCTCTTAGTTGGTAAGCGTTGTTGATGACAAGCGTCTTGTTTAACCTTTGGGGAAGGTGATTGGTAGCTAGACGTAACCACCAAGCACAAAGAATGTCTCCTTCGCTCACAAATAATGCCTCGCAATTCTTATTTTCGCCTGCAAGGTCGTCTACTGTCTTCTTTTTCAGCTTCTCCATAAATGGTCCCGGGATGCAAACCATGCGAGTTTCTTGAGCACCGGTGAACTCGAATATGTGACTTAGCCCATATTGTATCAATGCCGTCAATGACATTACCTTATCTGCAAGCTTATACGGCTCACTAGGGTGCTTCCCGAATTCGGACAATGGGTCATTATTAATACCATATAGCGGAGGCACCTCCTCCTCCCTTCCTTGCAGCACGAGAGTCCAAGCGTCCAGCAGTGCTTTCTTACCCATCGCATCAAAGAGAGTATGAGGCCAGGAGAGCGACACAAGCGTCGCGTCATGAAAGGAAACAACGTGTAAGCCAAGTTGAGGAATGTCTGTATAAAGGTAGTCGTTTAATTTGGTTGGAGCACCGTCGCGGAGCATCAAGCTGTGGAAATCATCAGGATTGCCAACCACAGCTGGACGGGTGGTAGGTTTCGGCAGGCGCGAGGCCACAGGATGTGATGCAATGCACATATCGTGCTGACTGTGTGTGAATGCAACAGCTGGACGCTCTTTGGTAAAGTGAATCGGAACATGATGTTCCAAATCTCCTTTTTCCTTGGAGCAATATGCGTCAGGCTAGTAGTTTAAGATTAACATTTACAATAGCAGAAGCACGTTACATTACGTCTGAGGCGAGCCCCCAGCTTACTCCAACCGTCCCGATTAATCAGGTTCCTAAGGCTTTCATGGAGCTTGTTGGCATCAAGCACATCGTCAAACACAAACAACGAGTATAGTATGAAAGCCCTCCAAAGGGGCGTGTCATCGAAGAAATTATGCGGAATGATTATATCTGTTGGGACTTTGCATGGCGCAGTAGTTTGGCGCTTGAAGAGTTGGAACATAGCTATGAATATGTACTCTTGGACGTGTTGTGAATACGACCGTCCTTTAGTCCAAGCAAGGCTTTTAACGCAAGAGGGTTTCAAGACCTTGCGAGATGCAAAGGGCGTATGAGATAAATGATAGGAGATTTGGATAGGAAACACATCACAACCCGTCGCAGGTCTTATTCGCTAATATATCGTAACACGCATGCCGGGCTACATTGCCTGTCTAATCCCTTTCAATTTGCAGGGGTAACAAATATGAGTACTTCCGCAAACCTCATGCAACGTCTCCTTCGGGTGGCACTCTCGGTTCCTCAAAGATATGACCGCGCACACCCCTACAAAATGCAGTATGCATCTCCTTTCGATACGCTAGCAAACGGCGAAAGGGTTCGTGGTTGGCCAGTTCGGCTGCATAGCTCAACTTCGGGACACTGTTTCATTGGCAGTGCGAAGTGATAGACAAAAGTCGATCTTCCCGTATTCAGGAGTCCATATCAGATACGGGGTGATGTGCTTGCTGTACAACTAGAATGACCATTCCAATTCTAGTGAATTGGCTCAAGCTATTGGAAAGTGCCGATTTACATCCGTTAGTCCCCTGTGCTATCTCATGGCGAGTGCGGCTCTTTCCCTTGGCATTGAAACTCGACCAGCGCGCCTTGTCACCCAAGCTTAGAACTGGGGATAGCTTAACGCATGCTCACGCTACAAGAAATTTCTTTAGCCGCGTAATATTCTGTCGGTGCTTCTACCAATGAGGCATTCTCAGTTGTCTACTCGGATAAAACTATCTGTCCCGGTCTTAAGCGGAAGCCAGAATGTAACCCTCATTGTAATTGGGAGAGGGGCTGAATCTCGGCTTCGGCAAGACTTCTGTCAACCGCTGCTGATTGGATCAACAAACCTTGCAGATTGAGGGCAAACGGCTGTCATCCGCCGTCGTTTAAGTATTGTTGCCCTTTGGGCTTTCGTCTTGAAGACTGCCATCAAAACATTGAATAAGTGAGTGACGAAGTAAAAGAGCTCACAAATTTCCAACATTATTCTTAATTCCCCGCTTTATCTATTGTGAATATCTCTATCCATCGGCCTATCACAGGCCATACAGAGCATCCCTCAGCTTCCTCAACATGCAGACAAACGATAGGTTTCTCAGACGGAAGCCATACTTAGATCGTGCCATTTCTCATCAGAAGCCGCGAGTGCTTGTACCGCCTTGCCACCAAATTCAACGGCATCGGGGCCAATGAGCAGGCGAAGAGGCACTTCGTCAGTCCCAGAAAGATCCAGCATAATCTTCGCAACTTTCTCTGGAGTGGAGGGCTCATGTCCATTATATTGCCGAAGCATCTGCGCAACCATACCGACTGTCGGCTTATACGGCTCGGTCACTGTTGGAATGCTCATTGATGATCCGGCCCAGTCCGTTAACATACCACCTGGCTCCAGAACTGTGACCTTGACTCCAAAAGGCGCCACCTCCTGGGCGAGAATAGTAGAAAAGCCCCCGACTGCCCACTTCGCGCTCTGGTACGCGCAAAGCCCCGGATTGCCAAGCCGGCCACCCACAGATGAGACTTGAAAGATGTGGCCGCTTCCTTGTTCTCGAAGTATTGGTAGCACTGCCTTCGTCACGTAGACTACTCCCATGAAATTTGTGTCAATCTGAGCACGAAAATCATCGATTTCGATGTCTTCAATCGCGGCGACATTGGCGTATCCTGCATTGTTCACGATCACATCGAGCCGTCCGAATCTCTCATGGCCAGTCCTAACAGCATCGGCCACTTCCTGTGGCTTCGTGACGTCTAAGGCGAGGGGAAGGAATTTTGTGCCGGAGTACTTTACTGTGAACTCCTCGAGACTTTTCGGGTTTCTGGCGGTTGCAATGACGGAGGCGCCGGATTCTAGGGCGGCCTGAACGATAGCGCGACCTAGGCCGCGAGAAGCGCCCGTAACAAACCACACTTGGCTCATTGTATGGTGAGAGAAATGAACTGAGGAACAATAAGAAATTATGGTTCAGGTCCAGTGATGCAACGCATCCATCTTAAGTATACGTGTTTCTCAGCGCATGACTCAAAATCCAACAATTCCGAGATATTCTTATACGTTGAAAAAGCTGCAAAGCGACTGGAGATACGTCGTGGGGATAGACTATCTCCAGACCGTGACACAGGCCTTGCAGGATAAAAGTGGCGGCCTTTGCCTAAGTTACCCAAGAAATCGTAGTTCGGTCCGCTAGTGAACGAAAGCGGGTGAACACGGGGCGGGCACAGCGGCCGAAGGAGGGTCATTAAACTTGGAAGCCGGCCGGCAGTGGCCCCACTCCGGTCAATGCGGCCGAATTGCGCCACCGGCTACACCGCGAGTCACGTCGCTGCGACCGCATCGTAATCTAGTCAGTGCAGGTGCAGGCAGCCGAACAAGCAGAATACTCGATACCTTGAGCGTGAGTCACGGGGAATCCTATTGAAGCGAAGAGCTAGCATTTTATAATGCTAGCAGAATAGGCAGTACGGAGTCAGAGTCAGACATTGGCTTAGTAGCTACCGCAGCTAAGTCGTTGGTCCCGGGTAGGTTTTACTCATGCGTCACAAGCAGCAACCGGATACCAGCTTGAAATGAGGCTTCTCAGTAGTCCAACAACATATTGTACCTTCGATGGTTCTGCTCAAGTTCTTGTTTCGATAGCATATATTTACAACACTTAGGTTTATTGGATGGATTTTAGATCAACTGTTTCCCATGCTGTAGCCGTATGTGCGGCGGAGGCGCAGCCGAGGTAGATATTCAAAGTGGTGTGAATTCTCGTCACATCACTTCAATTTATCATACATGTAGGGAGGTCGCCCGAAAGTATAGGACTTGCGTTGTTACCGATACCAAACCCGATCTGTGATGTCGGCTAGCAATCTAGTATCTGACGTTACAAGCGCGAGAAACTGTTTTTGCTTCATTCATCCGCTAGTACAAAGTCACTTATAGGTAGAATTGCATACTATTGCATAAGGAGAATGCGATATACAACAGAGTACAGTAATTCCAGAATTGTGCAGTATGGAGAACGTCCAGTCGACTTCGAGCAGGCCTTTATGCATGTTGTATAATCTACATCCCCGTACAAGCACTGCACCCATTTGAGCTAAACAATACTGTGATTGACACTGATTGAAGCCTCCCCCCAATGGTGAGATTTCAGTATGGTGATGTTGAAATGGCAACTAATTACGAGAAAAAGTGGCTATGAAGTCTCTGGCCTTCCCTATGCATTGATATAAAGCGATGCATATCATTGCGGAAAGATGTGCTCGTATTGTAAGTACCCAACTCCTGGGTCAGAATACGGAACTCAAAAATGCCTTTCAGCTTCCCTCCTATCAACAGTCTACATAGAGAGGACAAAGGAGAAAAACAATGTCAAACCGCGGATAGTCTCTACCGAGTAAGATGTCTGTTCCTCTCATAGTAATCTGAGCCTTTTCAAAATGATCGAATGGCAAGAAACGACAGCCTTCTGCCAATAGGGCTAAGACGCAGAGTCAAAAAATGGCAACTGAATACCGCTGTAGTAGATTGCGGATATTGGGTGGTTGGAGTCGATCATTCGGCCTCAGAAAGCTATTGTGATACAGCAATCAGCCACCTGCGTTCACTTTTAGTTTGCTTACACTACTTGGCATGAATCCGTGCCTGACGATTAGAGTCACTGCTAGCAAATTTGGTGCCCAGTGGTCGAACTACGCCTCGCTACCATTATTCGGGTACCTTGGAACTGCACAAGAGTGTATGCGAGATCGACTAGTGCAAGCCGATGTGTCAAATATGACTTTTCATTATTCTGCTGTTGACTCAAACAAACAACCAGCAGGTAACGCCGAAGTGATTTTCGGAGCTCGCCAATGACAATCAAAGACGGAGTAGTTTACCTTGTGATGATCGTTTGATTCATCTGTAGAAGTAGAGACACAGTTAACCACACTAGATTCACATCCCGAGAGAGGACCTGATTAATTATGACAATGATACACGACCAGTAAGCCAACATGAATCTTGATCGTTATCACCGCCCCATCTGTGGACAGCTTACGATCTTGGACACTGACACGCTGTTCGTGGATACTGCGTTGCTACTTAGACTTCTTTAAATATTCTAGCAATGAATGAAGAGCTATAGGATAGTAGGTGTTGGAAAAAGTATGCATAATTCAAGTCATATCGCAGCTGACAGATCTTGGACTTGGAACAGTCGATAAATCATATATCCGAGATCTTCCGGTACGTGTTGAATAAGCAAATGTTACCTACAAGGCTACCCTAGAACCTGACACCCCAGTTGCAGACATGATGCAGATTGTGAGTGTCATGTGCAGCACTTAACTATCGTCTAACTTTCACTGAACAACTACATCGTATAGTGGCCAACTTAGGCTCCCATCCTCGAATGAAGTTCCTCGTGCTCATCGATGACCAAAGTGATGCGCTCTCCTACTGTTATTCCAAATATTGATGGGTCTGCCCCTGCTTACGTTTTTCGTGACAAGATGGATCCATCCGCTCCACAATAGCTTTCTCCATGTTGGCGTGTTTCCGCACATGTTCTCTGAACTTTCGGGCGCAGGGAGCCGACGGCAGTTGCTCGGCACTTTGGGATGCCTTAATGGTATCGCAATGGAACCCCTTGGAACATCAATGGCAACACGGTAGTTTTAAGAGGAACGACACATAGCAGATACTGTTAGACATTACTTCGAGCTCTATGATTTCCAAATTGCCAACTCTCGAAAGAGCCCCGCCTGGTCTCCTTGACTAAACCTGCATGCCTAGAACGCACTTCGTATTTAATACACGTACCCACCAAGCGAATGTTCCGAAATGGAAATAATAGCGAAGACCACCCTTAGAAAAGTATGTCTGTACAGTATTATGATTGGCATAATGTACTCCATTGAAAGTTTGACCGAGTCAGTGACAGCTCACCCTGGACTCGGATGATGCGGTGAAGATGTATAACGCATGGAGAGCCTTCAGGTGGCCAGGATCTCAGGTCAAACTACGGAGAATATTGTTGTCTAGCTGTCGATCATCCCCTGAACCAGGCACGCATTGCATTTAAACTAAGAGACATGCCCGTTGGTTGCGCAAATTCGGGGACCTTTACGTCGGCCTTGAGACGACAATGCCGGATGCAAGCAACCGAACAGGTGAATTCCCTCGGAGAGAGTGCGAATCAATCAAACGACTGTTTCAACGGTTCTAGGTCTCCAGTGCTCCACTGCTCCACTGCTATTTCAGGTGGACAGGTTCTCCACTGATACACAACATTTTTGAAGCAAATCAGCCTCGAGGGTGACCTGTCCACCGCTGCCATCGGCAGGGACTTGCCCGATCGTAGCAATCACTCGCCGACCTTGTTACTTGATTGGGTCCATAGACCCTGCATTTGGTGTGGGATCCGCTTGTATACCTATGCCAGATACAATGCCGGACCTGATGCTGCTGCAGGAGCAGTGCAATGCATGCTCAACATAGCCTGATGATAAGAGGAATTTGCGACTTTGTTCATTCAAGGCTAACTAGCACATAACAAAGCTCATGAGAGGGCTTGCCTGCTAGACCCTTCCATGATCCCCCACGCTAGGTTAGGCGGCCAGGGACGAACCGTGCCGTCCAGTCCACCGGCGTTGTCCACTACGGCAACCAATGTCACCCCTACTAGTTCCCCTGTGCTAGCATGCCCATTTAAGACCGCCAGTGTGCAACGCAAGAATCTACTACTGCCGCTTTCAGAGCGATTGGGCGAGTCGTATCTCGCTAAGTCATACGCAACGTAACTTTGCTGAGAACGCAGGTTGGTACTTAAAAGAACGATCAATCCTTTAACTCAGTGCATTGTTGTGCGTTGCTGTAAGGGAGCCAACCCCTCTTTCGATCGGGAATCTCGCGGGGTCCGTCCTACCCCCGAGTTTCGGGCAATGATAACCTTGTTTGGCGTCATTTTGGGTGTTCAGTAATTTACCAGCGTATCCATTTGGGTTAATTCAGAGGCCATCGCGCGTCGACAGCGCAGAGTCATTGGCTCTAAATCTCAGCCCTCACCGCCGTAAGCACTTGCCTGATAGTGGACGCCGCGCCACATATACATACGCGAACCAGTAATCGAAAGAATATTTAGATAGCATACTGCAAGCCAGAAACTACCCGGTGTGCTAGGTGTACATAGATCCAGGACTTTTACGCCAAGTGGGAGAATGCAGCGGAACCACTCCGTGTCCGATAGCTAGATGTCGTTTATGTTCCTCTATCCTTCGAGTAGATGACGGCAGAGGTGACAGGCCTTAAAACCCTGCGATGACGTGACACCCGTTTACGAAGGCAGTGTTGTTAAGCATAACAATATACTGGACATTATGAATTCGATTCGTAGTGTAACTTGTACGTGTCGGTGACGTCTATGATGTTGTAGAGATCATTCCAAACGTTCGCCCATACGAGGCTCTTAAGGCAAAACTTCAAGGACGCAAGGTGTTTTGAGCCCTTTGGTTCCAACACCAGTCCAGTTTGCATATTTTCAAAGAGCTCTGGCGTAGTTCATTCTGGGAAGGTCCTAGTCGGCTGCGCCCATTCCTACTCTAGGTAACGGTAATGGAGCCGAGCGACGATATCACGCACGCTCACCTATCAAATCCTTCGGGATCGCGAGGTCTTGCAGCAACGCTATGCGAGCTCTCTTTCCTATAAGGAGTGCGAGGCCTGTGACAACCTAGCTCTCAGCCAAGGACACTCGAGGGTCAGTATCAATGGTAAAAGGACTCTACGTCGGGAGGATCTTCATGCCTACCTCCCAACTTGGCTGACGTGCTGTACCAGCAGCGAACGACTGAGTTCCCGCGGCAGGTCTCTTGTCAAGGTGGCTCTGGTGGCTTATCTAGTCCCGTCGGAGAGGCGGCGACAGTGGTAGCAGGGGACGGAAGGAC